CAATGTTTCTAATACTAAAAAAATTTGTATGAATGTTTTTGGATAAAGAATGAAATGAATGGAACATCAAATACCTCTTATGTCATTGATATATTTTGAAATATTTTATTTATTATTGATAAATTTTAAAATATTTTATACGTCATTAATATACTCTGCAATGTTTCATATGTCGTTGATATGCTCTGAAACATTTTTGTTTCGTCATTGATATACTCTGAAATGTTTCATATGCCATTGATATGCTCCGAAACATTTCATACATTATTTATATGCTCTGAAATATTTTATATATCATTAATATACTCTAAAACATTTCATACGTCATTGATATGCTCCAAAATATTTCATATGTCCTTGATATTCTCCGTAACATTTTATACGTCATTGATATAATCTGAAATGCTCCTTACGTCATTGATATACTCCAATTAATCTTTATTCCCTTATTATGAACAAAACATGTTTCGATTGAAATAACATTGTAACTTTGCATTCGATGAGTCGCTATCTCTGAACTTTTGTATCCTTGTCTTGTATTTTGATATTTTGTTTGTTTAGAACTATCCTCTTTTATCATGGATATATTAATCATTTGCTGAACTTTATATGCTCATTTCGTTGCTATATAATATTTTTAGGATAGTTTATTACTCGTTAAAATGAAGTTAGAACTTTTATAATTAAGTCGATAAAGTAAGTCTTAAATAAATGCACCATCATAATAGGACTCCACTAAACTAATATTTTGAAGTCTAAAATATTTATAAAGTAAGCTTTCAAATATTAATGTCTTAGATATAAAAAAATTTATAAGATGAATCATTAAGACTAATGCTTTCTCTTCTATCCATCCAATCTTACAATACATTGAAGTATGTGGCAAGCAACATGTACCAAAGGAAACAACCGAGTTGAGTGAGTGCAATAATGGTGGTCACACGGTGCGGCGCTGCAGGAGCGAGGAGTAAAGAGGAGATGCAATCCGACCAGCTTGCAGAGTGGGGGAAAAGCTTATCATTCATTCTCAGCATGCAGAAAGAAGCCATCAGTAAAGAATGATCACAGAGCACCGGTTTATGAATCTTCAGTACTTTCTTTGTTGTTCTCAGCTGGAAAGAACCTCGTCTAAGCTGTCTTCACGCAAGAGAAATTTAGAGTGCTCGACGTATGATCATTGCTTTCGATGAATCGAGGTTCGATTAATTTATCTCTTCGACAGACATATGACAATTCAAAAAAATAAGCATCAATCTAGTCAACAAGTCGGATTGATAATCAAAATTCATCCAATCAACTATATTTAAAATAAAATAAAATAGATATTAAATGAATAAATCTTGAAAGTTATGAGCTTTTCCTTCTTATCTCTTTTTTCTTGCTCGAAGATTTGGCATTCAGTAATAAGCATATTTGTAAGGACAACTGAGGAGAATTATATGTTGGTCCTAACTCATAAATCTAAATAATGAAATCAGTAACGTTCATAATGATATCTATACATTCACAAGATGCTTACACTTTTTCCTCTCTTTAAGTGAAGTAAGTTCCATGTTTTATGTTTTATGTATTGTGAAGGAGATTCTAATACCTCGAGTTAACATATGCAAGAAAGAAATAGAAGAAGAGACGTAAAATATATCGAAACGATATAATTAATATGTGTGTGTATATATATATATAAGAGAAAATATAGATGGATGTAGTAGCCATGGATGACCATTTTGATTCACAAGATATGAAGGAAGATATGAGACTTGAATGTTAGTAGGTGGTTCATTTATTGATCAGTTGTTGCTTAAACTATGCATCCCTATGGCATGGGAGTATTTATTCTTTCCATTTGGGTATTATTTTGGTTGGATCCAAGACATTGATTTGTTCGTGTAGTCAATCACCTGTTGAATTGTTCCGAGACATCCTTTTGATGGGTTCACATGCCTTTGAAAAGAAAATTACCATAAATAAATATAACATATCTTATGTTTTTTAAATATGAAATATGAATTGAGGACTATCACTAATTAAGTTATATATAAATTAATATAGTTTTCAAATATTTAGATTTTGGGTATTTCTTAATTGATATCTCCTCTTTTGTTTTTTTCTTAAATAATACTTCTAAATTAAAACACCCAAAATACCCTTGGAATTTTATCATCAAATTTGTTTGATGATTTTTCTTTTATCAGTTTTAGACTGTTACAATATTTTTCAATAGCATTTATAATATTATTTACTCAGATGTTGAAATCAAAACTATCGAAAAATATTACAAGTAGCATCATATTATGTTTATTTGGTTATCATTGCTCCTACACTAGACTATATTTTTAGATTTATAGTTGGTTTGGTTAAGGCTAGGAATCTATTTGGATCATTCATAATATTTTTGAGTAGGTTTTATACTATTTTCATTTTGGTGGCTAAAATACTATAACACGCTAATTTGATATTATTATTATTATTAAAATATTATAAGTACCTATTTGATCATAATATAATATATCAAATGATTTATAATGTATTTTGATTTTATTTTTATGCTTTCGTCGTCGTAGTGTTTTTGTTGTAGTGGTCAAAACATTATAATAGACAAAAAAAAAAATCAAAGAGTAATTTAGATTTTCTTTAAATTATAAATATTATTTTAAAAATAAAATGGAAGATATCGATTGGAAAATATCTAAAATATAAGTATTTTATAGAAAAATTACCCATTTCAAATCATACAGACTGTAACTTGTTTTCTTTGGACCGAAATAGCATTAGCGTTTTTTGTATTATATTATATTATTTAATACAGTGACTTCAAGACAAGTACCATAACTAATGTTAGACAGACATGAAAGGCAATAATACCAGCTAACGGTTGGCTAATTAATATTTTGTCCTTTATAATTGGACAATGATCCATGTTTGACATTGTCTTGTAGTTACTTTATGTATTAGAGGCTTTTATGTTTTGTGCTTATCTCTAAAAATAATTAATTTATTAAGATAATTAATAAAAATATATATGGATATAAAAAAGATTTACATATAGTTTTTATTATCTTAGAGAAGGTTTATGATACGGTTGGTAGAGATTTATTCTGGTAGGCATTAGAAAAGAAAATGTATTTACTAATTATATTGATATTATTAAATGTATGCATGATACTATAGTTACTAGTATTAGAATCATATGTAGTGAGTTTTCTATATCTGTATTAAGTCCTTACCTTTTCATATTGATAATAGATGAATGTATTATCTATCGATGGTATTATCTTAGTTGATAAAAGTTTAAGTAAAATTAATTATAAACTTGAGTTACGAAGATAAAACTTAGAAACTTAAGATTTTAGATTAAGTAGGATTAAGATTGAATATATAAAATATATAATATAGTTAAATTGAAAGGATAAACAAATATATAATTAAAAACTTTAGGTATTTTAGATTAATTTTTCAATAATATAATGAAGAGATTGATAAATATATTATTCATATAATAAAAATTAGAATGATTAAAATTATAAACGAGACTTATGTGATATGAGACTAAAAGAAAGTCTTGTATGATTTGAGACTAAAAACAAATTTATAAGATAATTATAAAACCAATAATGGTTTATGCATCTAAGTGTTAGGTATTTAAAATATATATATATATATATATATATATATATAAAGCTTGTGTTATAGAGATAAGAATATTAAGACAGATATATGGAGTTACATAAAAATAATAATTTTATTCATAATAATTTAATATTTAGAGGATAAAGTAAAGAAAATCTAATATGACATGAGTATATGCTTTGGATATATTGAGATGCAGTAGAAAAAAAAAAGTTAAAATAATAAATATTATTAATATGAAAAGAGATAGAAGTAGACTTAAAAAGAGATATTATATATAAATTTTTATAGATATCAATAAAAAAAAATTATTTAACCGATCCTAAATAATTAAGATTTGTAATTTTATAATAATAATAATATATTTATACTTATCTAAGGTAATTAAGATCCTTTATACTGCTCCAGACAAGTATGAAAAGACATTGCATTGTTAAGCTTGAAGTGTTTGGATTTATGTGATGCATAGATCCTGTATATGTAATATCAGATACAGTCTTCATTCTCACCTGTCATCTTCCACCTCTGTAGAAGTAACAGTAATAGACAATAATGAGATGGCTGGTCCAATGCGTCTCTCATGCACATGCAAACGATAAAGACTGAGAGGAAGAAGGCAATGGAATAAGAAAAGGGAGTGAGAGAGAGAGAGAGAGAGAGAGAGCTAGTGGCATCCAACCGACGCCAACCTCACTCTCGACCCCATTCCCACCACCTCTCTCTCTCTCTCTCTCTCTCTACTCTCTACTCTCTC